TAATTTTAATGGGAACACAGCAATCAATATTTGGCTTTTAATTAGGTTTTAGTGGGGTTATTTTGTGTATTTTTGTATGATTTTTTCTTTTTTGTATTCTGTATATTGTATTTGTGTTTTTAATATGCTGTGAACCGCCCTGAGTCCTACGGGAGAAGGGCGGTATACAAATTAAATTAACCTAACCTAACCTAACCTAGTTAGCCTGGCGTGTGGTGAGGACTGTGGGGAGATTTCATTTCTCATTTGAAGTGTCACAGTCTGTTATTGTTATTATGTTATATAATTATATATCCTGTACTTTATTCTAATAATTCTTTGAAGTAACAGGCTATTAAAAAAAATAGCCTGATGGCCCAGATCATGTCATTACCTTCACAACAATGTGGGGGGATTTGAAGCTGGTTCAGTCCACATTTATTATAATGCAAAAAAAGATCTATAAAATACGGCATACCGCAGACTGTACTTGTGTAGTTTAATTAATATCCCTTTTCTACCAAAAGCTCAAGGATGCATTTGAAACCATCACTTTTTATCTTCCAGGAGGTAGATTAAACTGAAAGCTTAGGATCATAGAATGCATTTTCAGACTAATTAGTGATCACTGTGAAGCAGTTTTTACTGATAGGGAAACTGATGGGTCAGTTCATATTGGATATGCCACGTGGTTTAACACGTCCTTATCTCTAAATTTGAAGTGACATTTGCGTTTACCTCTATTTAAAAAAAAGCCAACTCTACATTTGCATCAAAATATGTAGATCATTGTATCTAGCAACTTTCTAATTGTGTTAGTATGCCTTCCACTCCAGTTAGCAAGTGTCCAACAACAGAGCCTGTGCTACTAACCATAACTTTGTGCAACAAATTCCAGTATGCAAAACTTCATTACCAGTTGTTTTTTGTCCCCAAAAATTGTCCCAAGACACTTCTTCTATATTTTCAGTGCTTATTTTGCTTTAACTTCTCTTAGTTCAAACAGCTAATTGAATAAAATCCAACAATGGACTTTTTGCTCTCAGATACATTTTTCACATAACCACTGAGAGCTAATTATATTTCAAAAGAAATATAGGAGATGTTAACGTGTAACCATAGATCCTAAGTGCTGCACATGAACTAAGAAAAAAGAAATTCTCCAGATAGGTAAATATTAACCTAATGCTAATGGTATCACAAAGATGTGCTGGAACAAATATTGATAAACAGCTTTAGCAACACTACTCTTACAATAGCTGAACTGTAATGCAAAACAACCTAATTGTTCACCAAACAATTCATCTTTCAGAGGGACTAAAATAATTGTTTGGAAAGAAAGCTTGCTCAAATACAAATCTGGAAATGCAAAAAAGCAAGGAGGAATAAAATGCTTTGTGAAGAAATGTGGAAATCTCTTTCTGTCATACATACCTACAAGAGACATTTCTGGAACAGTCGCATGATATGGGCCATCTACAAATTCTGGTGGGTTGTCATTGATATCTTGGACCTTAATAATGAATTCTGAAGGAGGCTCCAGTGGTTTGTTTGTATCCCTATCGACTGCTTGAGCGGTCAACGTGTACTCTGCTTTTTCTTCCCGGTCAAGTCTTTTCATAGCGTGGATGTCTCCTGTCTTGTCATTGATCACGAAGATAGTCCCAGCACCATCACCTGACAAGATGTACTTGATCTTGCTGCTTCCTGGATCCATGTCCGTATGTAGCTGAAATTATAAATAAGCAATTTGTGTATTGCACTCCTTCAGCTACCCATCTTTCTCCCCTCCCCACTGCATATAAAATAAGATAAGATAGATAAGATAACCTTGATTGTCATTTTTTTACTGTGGGCACAATGGCAGACATCAAAAATGAAATTTAGTTGCCCGCTCTCAAAGTGAAACACATGCATGACACAAATCTAAACATACTATATACAACACATGTATGGACCCATACCCCTACGTATACAGAACAAATAAATATTAAACACTGTCCATCTTGAATATATAACGGAAGGAGGAAGCTTGAGAGTTCACAAGGTTAATGCTGTATGGAATGAAACTATGGCTGAATCTGGATGTTCTGCTTCAGATACCACGAAGCCCCCTCCTTCCTCCCAGAAAGTAACAAGAAAAACAGGTCGTGGAGAGGATGTGTAGCATCCCAGACAATCTTACGGACCCTGCTCAAGCAACGCTTCTGTGCTATGTCCTGGATGGAAGGGAGGGAACTACCAATAATCTTTTCGGCCATCCTCACCACTCTCTGCACTGCCTTCCTGTCTGAAGCAGTGATGCTTCCAAACCAGACTGTGATGCTGGTTTGGTATTTTCATCTCGGATCTCTTGAACAGTCTTAAAATACACAATTGACAAAATTTGCATGCATGCTGAAAGTAATCGCACATATGTTTCTACAAAAGTTTAAATCACTCTGTTTAGTCCAACCAACTGTTCTATAAATGTCTTCTGTTAGTCCTTGGAAATAAGCAAAATTTCTAAGCACCTCTAATGGATCTATAAAACTATAAGAAAGTAGTATTCACTAATAACTTTGTTACTCAGACATTTACGAGGGAAAGTTTTGAGTTTCAGGGTTTTTTTTGGGGGGGGGGGCAGGATTATATCTGAAGACATTCAGATTTGATCTTATTCGCTTTGCTTAATTTGCAGTCCTGGCAAAGGGTTATTTAATCTAATGATGGTCTTTAGAATAACAAGGAAAGACAGAAGTATTATTTCTGACGAACCGCCAAACTGAAAATCAGCTACGATAGGATTCTTTGTGAGTATGCTGCTTGAATAATAAGTTACTCTCTGTTCTCTGGATATTATATATTTTCATTGGAATCATGATTAATCACTTTTCAAGTACTTTCCGCAGCTTGAGGATTTACTCATCTCTGCAAATCGGTCTTTTGATTTCTAGCAGCACACTGTAGATTTCACAGCAGCTTATATATTATTACATATGAGGACCATTATGTCATGTTTTCCCACCACTGACTCTCCTCTCGTTCTCACAAGGATACAGACACAAACAGAAATACTAAATAAAGCTACCTCTTTGCATCACCAATAAATGAAATCTGCTTCTATTTAATGATTCCAAAATACTGACAGCATTATAAATATATGGAGATATTAAAAGTCTAGCTAGTCAGTCTGGTTGAAATAGCTTTTCTTTCTTCACTGGAAAAGCTATGTAGGCTATACAGATACAGGAGCTTCACACTGTTGACCCCTGGTTTTAGGTGTTGCTAAATTCTTCAATGTATTTCATGATAATTCTAGAGAAGCTTATTAAATTTAAGCATATTTATCTTGTTTACTCACAAACAGCCACCTGAAATGTGAGATATTAGATAACAGCAGAAAGAAAACCCAGCTTTTAAAAAAATAAAAAAATAAAAAAAATTTCATTTTTGCTGCTGGAGATCTAAACACAAGCTAATCTATTAATTCATTTCTTCCTTAATGTTAGTAATTCACTAAGACAGTAATTATTTTCTCCTGTTAAAATCAATAATACATGTGGCAAAGAAATTAAATGCATTATCAACCCAGCTATTTGAAACTCCCATGTGATTTTTTTTTTTAAAAAAAATAGTAAATTAATTATAATAAAAATTATAAAACCCTCTTTAAGAATGATTCAAAATCTATGTCACTTTTCCCATTTTTTAAAGTCATTAAATGCGCTAACTTTATCTCCTAGGGTGTAATTTCTTAAGTATCATAAAATATGTATGAGGATGTAAAGTCATTGTTAGGATTCAAAATTCTTTTCTCATGTCAAAAGTTAAAGATAATTAGGTTCATAATTATGTGGGCCCACAATGAACAATAGTCAAAGAACATAGGATGAGTTTCCACTACTGCTATGGTGGAGATATACACTTTTAAAAAATGTACATTTTAATAATAATAATAATAATAATAATAATAATAATAATAATAATAATAATAATAATAATAATAATAATAATAATAATAATAATAATGATAAAGTTGGAAGGGATCTTGGAGGTCATCTAGTCCAACCCCCTGCTCAGGCAGGAAACCCTATACCATTTCAGACAAATGGCTGTCCAGTCTCTTCTTAAAAACTTCCAGTGTTGGTGCATTCACCGCTTCTGGAGGCAGGTTGTTCCACTGGTTAATTGTTCTCACTGTCAGGAAGTTTCTCCTTAGTTCTAGGTTGCTTCTCTCCTTGATCAGTTTCCATCCATTGCTTCTTGTCCTGCCTTCAGGCACTTTGGAGAATAGCTTGACTCCTTCTTCTTTGTGGCAGCCCCTGAGATATTGGAACACTGCTATCATGTCCCCCCTCATCCTTCTCTTCGTTAAACTAGACATATCCAATTCCAGCAGCCTTTCCTTATATGTTTTAGCCTCCAGTCCCCTGATCATCTTTGTTGCTCTTTGTATCTATAGCATTATCTTTGTATCTATAGCATTATCTTCGGGTCCTAGTCCATGTCTCCAACAAAAGTACTTAAGATTATTATATGGGGTGGGTTATGAATTAAATGCTCATCATGTTAATACAAATAAGTACTGGAGTTTGTAAACCTACAATCTGAATGTGTGCCTGGTTTCCTGCACTGAACAGAGGATTGAATTGGAGTTACACAGCTCCCTCTTGCTCGGTGTTGCTAGGACTGACCTAATTATACCCTAGGAGAAATTCGCATGAGCAACCTTTCAGAAGGATCCTTTATGTTACATGAATGCAGCTGGAGAACAAGCTGTCCATTTGTAACCATATTTCTGTCTCCTAATCCATTTCTGAAAATGTGATTCCTGTGGTTCTCTCATTTCTTTCAAAAAGGCCAAATGACTAACTGCAGTGGGCCTCATGAGTCAACCATTTCACTTTTACTGTGAAAATCTTTGCACACTGTTGGACAATAGGATGAAGCCTCCTCAATTAAAAAAAGAAATTTACACTCCCCCTAAACTGAATTTATTTCCCTCTTCTGTGTTAATGCTGAAATAATGAGAGTAAAACTGCAACAAATACTGTTACGTTCGAGAAGGTCTTCAAATTGCACGATGTGGTTTACAATTTCTATATGTTTATGTAATATGTAAGCATGTCAGGCCAACATGGGATTAATTATAATCTGCATTTTTTCCCTTTTTTGCTTTGGCTTGGTTAATTTTATTTTGTGGAGTGTTGAGGGGGGGGGGGTAGTTTGATCTGCTTAGTCTTTTTTTTTTAGTCAGTTTTGCACTCCGTAGTTCTGCAATCCCATTTTGCAAAATAAAAATAAAACAAATAGGAATGTTCAGGTTTTGAGTTATAGCCATCAGTATCCTGCTTCATTACTGACCAAATCAAATAGGCCAAATGAAAGAGTATAAATCCAGAAATCCTAGCTTAACTTGGCTGCCAAGCACAGAAGCATAGTTATGAATTCAGATATCAGTGGTAGGATTCAGTACCTAGGACAGCGATTTTGCAATTGAGGTAAAGGAAGAAGTGATGGGTAACAATTGTTGAGCATCACCAATGAATGAAATTTCTCAGGGCAGATATGTTTGTTATGTCAACAACCTACAGTCCCCTAGGTCTAAGGCTGAGAAGCACAAGGCTAAATATGTGTTAAAACACTAACAAAAGAAAAAAAAAGATGCCTTAAATAAACTACCATGTGTATAAGGAGGTCCCATATTTTATGATGAGAGAGCAATCAACTGCATAAAGCATTCTAGCATACAATAAAGATTAGCATCAAGCCATGCCATGTCAAACTGCCAAGTTTGAGCTCTAAAGCTTTTAAAGACTATCAGAGTTTAAAGTTTGGTCCAGAGAAGTTGCGTATTTTGTTTTAACAATGGTTTGAATGGCACATGCTCAAAGCTCTAAACAGTACAATCACATCATCCAGACAATTTCTGACAAAATTACAAGACTTAATTGTGGCTCCTGATGAGATCATGGTCTCCTTAGATGTAATATCCCTATTTACATCCACCACCACCACCAGACTAGCATATGAAATAAAAAATTAGAATGCAAGACAGATGAGAACCTAACCAGAATGCAAATCATGAAGCTGAAGTGGGTTAGAGAGCATTCCAGAAATTGCTGAGTCTCGAGATAATGCTCTACCCCACTGTCCTTGACCGTTTAAGCCATATCCTGTTTTCTGCTTTGCTTAGTAGCCAATTCCCTATTTTTATCTCTCTGTGTCAATGTTCAACCGTCTGGTATTTTTCCATACTATCAGGAATGCTGAGAACACAATGTTTACAATATTACCATATATGGGGTCCAGAGGGGTCAGGAAATGCATACGTTGTATGAACTATATATGTGCTCTCTGAACACTCCTCGGAGTTCAGACCCCTTGCTTTCTGAACCTGCGCAAATAAACCTTTCCTTCTTCAAAGAGCTTGCTCAAGTCCTTTCTTTCCACAACAAAGCTACTTCAATGCTTCCAACATACCTTCTTCACATTCAAAAGAGAAAGGAATAAGTTCTATACAAAAACAATGTTAAAGATCAGTTATGATCAATACTTCAAAGGTCTACTAGCTCATATTCGATTTATGATATAATCTTAACAGCATAAACTATACAGCCAAGCATCTTATTAGATAAACAAATCAAAAACCCAAAAGCAGCAATAATCCATTTTTACCAGTTTTTCAAGTGGTAATAAGCCAGGATAAAGACAGTGATGGCTGCCAGTTTCTTGAAGTTTTATGAC